TGACCTGGTTCCCCCCTCCCAGCACAGCCGTCCCGGAGCAGAGACTGTCTGTCCAGAGTGGAGACGCCTGGTCCAGAGCAGGGACCCCAGCTTCGGAGTCAAGATCACAGATCTGGAGGAGAGACCTTTGGTCTGGAGCAGGGACCCCAAAACAGAGCAGAGATCCCAGAGCAGAGACCCCAAAACATCCTCTTCCTTAGTCCCCTGGCTTTGCAGCAATGACCGGCAAAACCACACCTTCAGCCACAGACACGGCTCCGGCAGCTCCGAAGAAAAAGCCAGTGCCAACCCGAAAAGAAGAACCAGCACCTCCCCAAGCTGCTGAAAAGACCTTGGTCCCTGAGCATCCCCCTGCCACGGAGCAGCCCACAGCCCCTGCAGACAAGCCTGCTCCCGTCCCTACGGCAGAAGCGACTCCAGCCCCTAAAGAAGGTGACCTGCCTCCCGCAGCTGAACCCCAAGCCCCAGCCCCTGAACCTAAGCCTGAGAAACCAAAGGCAGGTGAGGATGGGACCGGACACTGAAGTGGGGAGGGGAGATAGCAAAGCTGGGAGGGAGCATGTGGGGGTGCCAGGGGGAAGGGACAGAGGGATGAAGTCATCAAAGATATTTCTGCAGTGGGATAGGGCTGGGGAATTAGGGTGGGGGGGCTGAAGACCAACATGGAGGTTGGGTGACTACCCTCCAACAGCCCAGGTACTCAAGAGCCTGTCCTCACCACTGTGGGTTTGTTACAGAGCTGCCCAGCTCTCCCGTGTCCTTGGCCGTGGAAGAAGTGAGCGAAAACTCGGTTACGCTGACCTGGAAAGCCCCGGAGCAGACAGGCCGGTCGGGCCTGGATGGATACGTGGTGGAGATCTGCAAAGATGGAAGTAGGCTTGTGCTTTCCTACCTTGTATGCATGGAGAGCTGGTGTGTTGCTGCAGAGGCATGGAATGGAGCTGGGCAGAACCTGGCAGCATGTTTCCCCCAGCAACATTTCCCTTTCTTTGCCTAAATGGGTTCATTTTAAATGGTCTTTTTTTTTTTTTTTTTCCACGGAGGAGAGGGGCTTCCCATTGGCTTCAGGTAGTAGTGATGTCTTTAGTGGGGGGCTGGACCAGGTTTAATGTCCAAGCCATGTCCGGCTAGAGGGTGGAGGAGAGACCAGCATACCCACTGAGGATGGTCTCTGATGAACTCCAGCTCTGCAGAGACCTGGGGTTGGGATGGTGAAGCAAGACCTCAGGAGGAAGAAGATGCAGTTCTCCCATGTTTGCCCAAAATGAAGTGCAGAAGGAATGGGGATAAGGTGGGAGGATGAGGAGGGAGGAAAGGATCCTGGGCAGTGCAAGAGGGGCTGGGGTGCATCAGCAGGCAAGCCCTGCCCAAGCAAGATGGGACTTGAGATGCCTGGAAGGAGGATGGCCATGGTGGATGGAGGTGGGCTGGTGGGTGGCAACAATTATCTGTGGTTCTCCGGTTGCGTTGCTGGTTGGTGGAATGTGGCAGGTGGATAGGACTTGTGTTTTGGATGCTCTCTTGAAGCCCTGCTTGGCTTTGTGTGAGAGTGAATGACCTGTGTGGCTGGGGGAATCTGCAAGGGGAGGCTGTGGCTGGTGGCCTGGGTGCTGCATGAGGCTGGAGAAGTTTGGGAGACCCAGGTGGTCCGTGGGCCTTGGGGAACTCAATCTATGACCCTTGGCTGTTTAGCTTGTGGCAGGAACGATCAACACGTGCTTGGCTGTGGGAGGCTTTCATCATTGGGCTGGGGACTGGGGAGGTAACCATGGCTGGATGGGATGTGTGAAGAGGCCCTTGCGTGGGGCAAGGAAAGATGCAGCCATTCTGGAGGGTGCTGATGAACAGCCACCAAAGGTCACAGTTCTGGATGCTCTCCTAACTTGCGTTGGGCTTGGCTGGGTGACCGGAGAGCTCTAGTCATTCAGTAATAACCACATGGGCTCTGTGACTGCTGTTATTTGGGCTGGCGCAAGACCCTCGCTGGCTAAACTATGGTGAGATTTGAGTGAGGGCTGGTTTGAGTAATGCCAGTGGTGAAGGGAAAGAGGAGCTGGTATGATTTGTCTGGTCTGATGGCATTGGCAGGAAAACCTTGGTTTGAAGGTGCACGTGGTGGCTTAGCAAACTCTGGCACACGTGGGTTGCTCTAGTTGCCTTCTGGGGACACCCAGTCCTTTGGTGACGGGGGCAGTCTGTTTTCTACCTGAGAAACCTCTTAAGAAGCTCGGCACGTTGCAAGGCCGCGTTAGCTGGCTGATGTGGAGGGCTTCTACATCTCGGCTGTGGGGTGAGTTTGACATGCCCCTTCCAAGCAAGAAGAACAGTTGGAGATCTAGCTGGCTCGTGGCAGGTGATGAGCAGACCTTGCCCGATGTGGAGGATGCTCTGGGGAACGTGGTGGGCCCCAACGAGTTATCCTGGGGCAGTAAGAAGAGCAGACTGGCTGGCAGGGTGGTCAAAGGATCTTAACTACTTCCAGAAATGCACCTGGAAGGTCAGCAGGGACCATGTTTGCTGGCCTAATGCCTTTTCTTACTTGCAAATAGCCTCCTGCTCAACAGCTGAGCTTCTGCCAGCGTTTTGCACCCCACACTCCTTGGTGGGATGGGGTGGCCAACCTCCCCCCAAGATACTTTTTTCTGCTGGTGCCCCAAATCATTCAGCTTTTGCAAGGAGGGGGTTCTTTGCCTCTTGGTTTCACCCCCTGTGGCTTGGTCCTGCTGTTTGGGGTGCGCATCTGTCTGTCCACTGCACGCCTGAAGTGCTCTGCTGGGTTCATCGTAGGTACAGACTGGACAGCTGCGAACGAGGAGCCTTTTCTTTCCACCCGGTACACAATCCAGGACCTCAGCTCCGGTGACAAGATCCATGTACGGGTGAAGGCTGTCAATGCCAGTGGTGCCAGTGTCCCGGCTACTTTGGAGCAGCCAGTCCTCATCAGAGAGATCCTCCGTAAGTACTGCTCCTGCCGTGCATAATTCCCATGTGCTTTGTCAGTGGTACAAAGAAATCACAGTTGTCCCTGCAGCCTCAGCAGCCTCTGCCGTCTCACACGTCGCAATCCAGCCTTTGACCGAGATGTTATTCTCAATAACTGTTTCCAATTCCCTTGGGGTGGGATGGAGTAGCTTCCCGACCTCAAGACACTGATCTTGCAGATGGTGAAGCTTTGGGGGTGAAGGACTCAAAATGCAGAGTCACATTTTCCCATTTCATTTCAAGACCTCAGAAACAGTCTCACTTTCAGCACATCTCCTCTCCTTGGCCATGCTTACATCTCTAATATGCCATCACATGCACATCGGACAGCTTTGTTTATTTAGCTAAGGAAAGTCAAGAGCTGGTAGTCTGGAGCATGGGAACTTTAATCATGCTGAACTCGCTAATGAATGACTTGCTCCCATGCTTAGCAAGACTCGCATTCCTCCCGGGGTGCTGCGAATGTGCTGAGGCTGATGTATGATTGCAGGGCTCGTTTGCACTTATAGACTTACACATGTAGACTTATTTTCCCTTTACAAGGAATTATGAATGCACAAGTTTTCCTGTTACTTAAAGAACATGTTGGATTTTTCAGCTGCTTAAAAATAGTAATAATAATAACAAAAGTTATTCCAGGAACGATCAGTTTTTCATAGGAAAAGGCTTGGAGAAGGCTGTCAGCATCTGGAAAGGGTCCTGCAGGGTCTGTCCTCTCAGTCTGCTTGGAGGAGGTGAACAGGGCTTAGTGGTTGGTGTCTGCTGCCGTGTTCACCTCCAGATCTCAAAGGCACCCCACCATCCCTTGTGGGACTGGGGAGACTGAGGTATGAGGGCCTGGCATGAGATGACAAATACGCAGCTCGTGTTTCCCACCTCTAGTCCCGTGCTGCACCCACAAGCTCAACCCTCCTGTCCCTGCTGCCTGAGCTTTGTCCCAGCCACGTGTACCAGCTGAGAGGTGTAAAACCCAAAGAGCTGAGGCCCACACAACTTGCTCTTGCTCCACACTAGTGGGTTTTTTTCTTCTCTCTTTTCTCTTTGCTAACTGAAACTCTTCATCAACAAGCAGCACTTGCCTACTTTTGCATTTCATTTGAAATACAGCCCTGTGCACACTGCCTGGCTTCGCTGAGGAACAAATTAACCCTCAATGTCCCTCTGCCTCCCCATGGCAACCCAGAGGTGCCAGTGTGTGTCGGGTGCACGAGTCCACTCCTCTCTGCCCCATCTGTTGCCTTCTGGTCTTCACATTTTATTTGGGACTGCATTTTGTACCTCTCACCAGTTCATTTATAGCATCACACGGGATTTTAAATAGCAGCGATACAGACAGCAGAGAGTTTAAAAACAGGTGGGATGAGTGGGTTTGGGAAGTGGAGAATGATGAGGAGAAACCAGATGAAGATCGGTGTGGCAGTCGTGTTTTGCAGGGAGCTGGGGCAGGAAAAATGCCTTCCCACCTGCGGCAGCATGTCACCTGGGCCACCGACCTCGGCTAGCCCTCTCTGGCTGAGCAAGGCACATGTAAGCTGGGGAAACCACCCATGAATTAACATTCCTCCATTGAGATCAGGTTTCTCTGCCCCGCTGAGACTGATAAGCCCAAGTGGCAGCATCCATGGATCCCTGGAGCAAATAGTAGCACGAGCAGAGGAGAGACTGTCTCAGCTGTTGGCGGGGCCATCTGGGACCGCCGGGCATCTCCCTGCCCTCCCCAGCCCACCGCCGGCGTTTCACGCTCACAGCTGTTTAGCCATTGCTCAGTCCTGGTTTAATTCTGTCTGTGCCCCCTCCCCAGAGCTAAGCTCCAGCACGTTTAATCCGGACAGAGACACACTGCTCTTTTATAAGGGGCTCACGTAAACCCGATGCCTCTCGAGAAGGATCACTGAGTGGCACCGAGCCGGTAGGGTTACACGGCTGCTATTTTCACCCCAGGAAGGAGACACACGCTCCATCAGCATTCTCCAGTGGGTTTTTTTGCTTATCTTTGTTATGTTCCCTTGGGGACGTTAGCCGCCTTTTTGAGCCTGGGGCTTTCATAGCTCTGCTGTGAGTAACTTTGCACCACCTTGGTCTCTCAATGGCCTTAAGCGCACAGTGAAGGTGGAGGTCTGGCAAGCCTTGTCCTTGCTCGAAGTTGGGTTGAGTGCCTCTAGTAAGTCTGCTTTCTGAGCTGGGGCAGAAATATTTCCTAACAGGGAGATGCTGTCCTCTGCCTTGCCTACCATGTAGGCTGTGGTGTGGCTCTTCTGGTTAAGCCCATGTTGGTCTCCACAGCCTGGCTATAATGAAGGGGGTGAATGGTCCATCGGGGTGGTGCCATTGGGTTGGTGATCTGGTATCTGAAGGATGGATATAATTTTGGGGTGCAGGCAAGGGGGTAGGCTGGCATAGCCCTGCAGGGAAGCAAGCACTGTCCAGGAGATGAGGGGGAAGAGGTGGTTGTGTTTATGGGTGGGATTTCTTGATGGCCAAGGGGGGGGATGCATAGGGTGGGAGAGCCACTTGAGGGCTGTGATTTCCTTGGCCCCATGGCATGACTTTCTGGTCCCCAGAGCTCCCGAGGATCCGCATGCCCCGTCACCTGCGGCAGACTTATGTCAGGCATGTTGGGGATGCCGTGAACATGATGATCCCTTTCCAGGTAGGTGGATGATTTGGGATTTAATCCCCCAGGCTTTTTCACTGCAGGTTAGGTTCTGCAGTGACTTTTCTAGCCACCATGACATGCCTGGGGCCAACTGTGGGCTGGTTTGTCCCAGTCCCTGTGTCTCATGGACCAAGGGTGGGAGATGGAGTGGGAACCTCTCTCCCATCCCTGCCTAGCTCCTATTTTTCTCCTGCTATGTCTTTATTGATGGTGGTGTCAATGGGACAACGGACAACCCCAAACACACTAGGGCATGGGCTAGCTATTGCTGCTGTCTCAGCCCACGAGCCCTGTTCAGCTCATGCTCCTGGCCAAGCCTGGCAGGGATCTGGCCACATACCACAGGACCCCACAGCACAACAGTGGGGGTCCCCTTGGGGAGAGCAGCTGCCTTTGGAGCAGGGCAGCCCCAGGACTGTGTGATGGAGGGAGCAATGCTGACATTGGTGGGCCAAGCTGAAGGTCCCCTCCTCAACTGATCTATCGTATACTGTCTGGGGCATCACCAAAACATCTCCACCACAGCATCTGGGACAGAGAAAAGCAGCCCTGAAACATGCTGGCCAAGCAGGGGGAAGTGAGAGGCAGAAAGCTGCCCTTGAGATGAAGGACATGTCCATGCCATGTCTCATAGGTGGTTGGGAGCCTGCACTAGCCATGCTCCAGGAATGAACTGGCCCTGGATGCTGAATTCAAGCCCCTGCTGCTAGGCATGAACCTGGGCTCAGTGTCTGGGCAACAGGAGCACAGCTCTGCCTGCAATGCCCTGGGCAAGTAAAGCTGGGCTTGCTCTTTGAGGACTTTGGGGGACCAGCATATTCCCGCACCATCCCTGGAGCCTGATGGCTTCCTGTCAGTGAGGCTGGCAGGAGTCAGCTGTAGTTTCTTCCCTGGGGACTGCTGGATGGGAGAGGCCGTATCCAGGCCACTGCTGCCTGGACAAAGTGGGGTGGCTCTGCCCACCCATCCTTCCCAGCAGGACCCGTTGGGACCGTGCACTCGAGTGGCCCCTAACCTGCCTGTGCGGGTTGCTCCAGGGAAAGCCGCGGCCTGAGGTGATCTGGACCAAGGGTGACCAGCCCCTGGACACCAGCCACATCAACATCCACAACACAGAGAAGGACACCATCTTCTACATCCGCAAGGCGCAGCGCAGCGATTCGGGCAAGTACGAGCTCACCGTGCGGATAAATGGAGCGGAGGACAAGGCTACCCTGGACATCCGAGTGATTGGTAAGGCTGGGGGTGGGACCATGCAGGGTGGCTCTGGGCTCATTTCTGCCCCTTGGTTGGGGGTAGCTCTTGTTCTGGGTGGGATGGGACAGGGACAGCAACAAGGCAAGGGACTCTGGGGTCCCTCTTCCAGTGGGATCTTCTCCAGGATCATGGAGGCAAACTTCTCTGGTTGGGGATGCGGGATTTCTGCCAGCCCATGCCCATCAGAGCTTCTCATCCCTTGTGTGCTGCAACAGGGTGAGAAGAGATTAAAAGCGAGGTCAAAGCACAGAATGTGGGGGTAGCAAATTAGGATGCCACCCTGTGAGGGTTTGTATTTGCAGAGCCACCGGGCCCCCCCCAGAACCTGAAGCTGGTGGATGTGTGGGGCTTTAATGTGGCCCTGGAGTGGACCCCCCCGGTAGACAACGGGAACTCTGAGATCAAGGGCTACGTGGTGCAGAAGTCAGACAAGAAGAGTGGGGTGAGTCTGGGCACTCCTGGACCCCCGTGTCCTGGTGCTGGGGATACCCTTATGGGAGACGGGGAGCTGCATACCCCTGTCTCCCCTCACACATTCTCCATCCTTTGGACAGCCTGCCTTTCCTCATTGCTCTTTTTTTTTTCCTCCCAGAAATGGTTCACGGCGCTGGAGCGCTGCACCCGCACCAGCTGCACCATCTCCGACCTCATCATTGGCAATAGCTACTCCTTCCGGGTTTTCGCGGAAAACGCCTGTGGGCTGAGCGAGAAAGCAGCTGTCACCTCTGGGGTGGCCCACATCAAGAAGACAAGTGGGGACAAGGCCCTGGCTAAGGGGCTGGGGATGGCAGTGGGCAAGAAGGGTCCCATCCCCATTAGGGCTAGTGGGGCTTCCTCGGTGTTGTGGTGATGCTGCTGGGCTGGCCCCAGGATGAGCCCTGCAGGGGCAAGGCTGTGCATCCCCATGGCAGCGGTCCAGAGGTCCCCTGCCTTCCTTCTACACCTCCTTTCTCCTTTGGAGAAGGCTTGTGCCATGGTCAGCCCCCTGGGAGGGATCAAGGCATGGACATCCCTGGGGTGAGAATGAAGCAGGAGCTGGGAGGGGTGAGGAACAGCCCTGGCTTTGGCTCCGCAGCTCAGGGCCAGCAAGGGAAGAGACCCCTGCAGTGGTCCACCTCAAGGCCAAATCTCCACAGCAGCATCCCTGAGCGCCGCTCTCCCTCCATCTATTTCCATCCTGCTCCCTGGTAGCACACAGTGAGTTGGGGTCTCTGCCACATGCAGGGCTTACCTCCCGCTCCTATTTCTGCGCACTGAATTTTGGGGATGGAGTAGGAGATCCAGAGAGGTGCCTGGCCTGGATCTGACATGCTGCACATAGCATGCATCGCAGTGTTGGTTTCCAGACTGGCATCTCCGCTGTCCCCCGCAGGGACTGGGCACTAACATGGTATGGTTGGATAAGAAGGGATTTAGAGACAGGGCTGGTCTGTGCTGAAGGCCAGGTCCTCAGGTCAGGCTAGACACTGTCTGGCTTGTTATGTGAGGGAGCAGAAATATTTTGCGATACCTTGGGCTGAATCCCTGTGACCATGTGCTGGTCAGCCCAGGAGTCCAAGCTCTGCCTCAATCTAGAATTAATTATTTTCTTAGAAACTGCTTACCAGCCAGAGAAGATTCCCCAAAGGGACATGATGGAGCCTCCAAAATTCACCCAGCCCCTGACAGACCGAACCACTACCCGGGGCTACAGCACACATCTCTTCTGCTGTGTCCGGGGCTTCCCCCAGGTCAGTGGTTCCTCCATGGTCAGCATTGCCTCCATGTGTGGGCAGCCACCAGTGGGTTTTTTGCAAGGTGGCTGGAGGTGTTGGGAGATGGTTGGTCATGTTGGGTTAGGGTTGGATGAGGTTAGTGGGCTGCATATGCCCTCTGAGTCAAACTGGAGCAAGTTTGGGGTGTTTCTGCATGGAGATGAGAGACTGGTCTTAATTCAAGCCATGTCCTGTTTCCTTCTGCATGAGGGAAGGAAGTATGGAGCAATGGTTAGGGCTCAAGTACGGGAGATTTAGCTCTTCAAGCTACTTCTGACTGTGAAACCCACCATGGCCACCAGCTTCAGGCAGGGCCAAGGCAAAGGCAGAGGGAGGTGGCTGCATTTGGGGCCTAGTTAGATTTCTCATTTCTCTCCCTGCTTTAAACAAATAAGTAAATCCTGCTGCTTTCCAGCCCAAAATCATCTGGATGAAAAATCAGATGGAGATACGGGAAGACCCCAAATACATAGCGATGATCAAGCAGGGCGTCTGCTCCCTGGAAATCCGCAAGCCCAACCCTTTTGATGGGGGCATCTACACCTGCAAAGCTGTGAATGCCTTGGGGGAAGCCTCAGTAGACTGCAAACTTGATGTGAAAGGTAAGATTGGCCAAGGAGATAGAGGAGCAGGTCTCCTTGCCTGCCTTTTCCTCTTCTAACTTGCACAGTGGTGTGGTTTGTCCCTGTTTTGTGTTGATCCTGGCGATGGGGGAGCCTAAGGACACTGGGCAGCCCAGGGGAGCTGGAGCTTTGGGCTTCTCGGGTTTATGGTCTTGAAGCATCTTGAAACCGCCTTCCCTCATTCATGGCCAAAAAATGGGGAGGAAACCAGAAGCTGCAGAGCCAAAGGACCAGAGGTGCTGTTGGAGGCTGGGACAGTTGCTTGTACCTCACTGTGTCTACCAGCACTTGTGTCCCAAGCCATCCACAAACCATGCATGTGGGGTCTGTGCTGAACGCCGTCCCTTGCACCTGGGTTGTTCTGATTTATGTCTCGGGATCCTGCCTGGACTTTCCAGCTCACATTTCCCTGCCTCAGCGAGCACCCAGCCCAGCTATTGCATAGAAGTGCGCCGCTTTGCTCCCTGCAGGCGCCTCGTCTGCGTGCTGCAGACCCACCTCGGCATGCAGGAGGATGCATGCTCACACACTATATGCGTGTTCTTCAAGTGGCGGTGTGTCCTCAGACAAATGTCATTTTTATTATTTCTCCTCCTGTGGCTTCCCAGCACATGCTTCCCCCCAGACACACTCTGCCCTACTTCCTGCACAGGCAGGGCTCCAATCCAGCAGGCACCCAGCACCCTCGGTCCCTGCTGAAGCTACAGAGCTGCTGGCGTGGCATGGGGTCGGTGCTTGGCTCTGTGGCAGCTGGTGCCAGGGCTTCCAGCCGGTGCAGTGAGCACTGACCCAGCTGGCCCCGGCCACGCTGCCCTGCAGGCAGGGCTGTCAGTGCAGCCATGCATGCAGCACGGTGAAGTCAGCCAGGAGGATGAGCTTGTTGTTGTGCTGGGGACATGAAGCACCTGGGAGTCACCCAGGCTGGGGTTTTGGGGGCAAGCTGGCCAGGAACAGGCAGTGACGGTGGTGTGTGTGATTGCTCGGAGCATGTGCGCGCTGAGATGGTGTGCGTAGGTGCACGTTGGTGTGCGCACATGAGAGGGTTGGTTATGCCCTGGCTCACTTTTGGAAGTCAAAAGGGGAGTAAGATCAGGGGAATTCAGGGGGTTTATATCTCCCATGCTCTCCTGCAGTGCCCCAGTGAGGACAGATCGGAGGGCAAGACAAAGAGCAAGGTAGGTCTGGGTTGGGGCTGAGGGATGGAAGGAGGGTGGATCACTTCATCAGGGATGGATTGGGTTGAGTGTCCTGGATTAGCCCTTGTCACCTGCTGATGGAGCCCCGCTTGGGTCTTCCTCATCGCATAGCTGGAGATGCACTGGTGGGGTGGGATGCTGAGAGAAATTTGCCCCTTTGCAAGGTGGAAGGAGGGCTGTAAATGTGGCCAGGAGGGTGAAGATGCATGTGGAGACTGGTGTTCCTGGCAGATGCATGGGCAGCACAGTGGGCAGAGCCCCAGTTTGCAGGCAGGGCTCAGACACCTGGGGCACCCGGTTGGATGCACATGAGGGGCAGGTACTGGGGCTGGGGGCAGGTATAAAGGGGTGTGAAATGGGGCTGCGGGGTGGAAAAGCAGAGTTAAAGGGTTGCACCTGAATTTTGTGGGGCAGGAGAGTGTGGAAGAGCTGGGCTGGGTTCGTCTTGCATTAGAGCCGTGGCTGGGACGTGGTTTCCTATCTCATCCCTGACCACTGGTCTCTCGGCCGTGGTGCCCTCACACGACCCAGATCTCGTTCCTTTACCCCAGGTGGCTGCTGCAGCTGCTGTGCAGTAGCGTGGCACACGGTGATGCTCCTGGCCATGGCCTCTGCTGCCTGCCGGCCTGCCTGCTCCCTGGCACTGCTCTGGGGGGCCTGCACCTCAGCCTGCCATGGCATGGTCCTCTCTGAATGTGTCCTTGGCTGTGACAATAAAACAAGCCCATCTGAGGGGCTTTGGTCCTAATAAAAAAACCCAAACCACTCTGTCCTGCTTGTGGGGTGGGCTTGGGTGGGGGGAGGTAGAGCAGAGAGAGCTGCCAGGGATGCTACAGATTCATACAGCATCTCACCGAACCATGGGTGGAAGAGATGGCTTTTGAACTTGGAAAGAAAGGACCAGCTTTATAAAACACATATTAAGATGACTAAACCAGAAGCAACCCAACAAGGAGGAAGAGGAGGATGGGGGAAAAGTTTCCTTCTGGAGATGGAGAATGATTCTGGCTGGGGGGCGGGGGAAATGCAACATCAAAACTGTGGCACGTTGATCCTTCTTCCTCGAAGCATAATTTCTTTATCCATGCCAGTGATGCAATGATCCAGCCATGTGCTGCTGCCAGCATCCCCTCCCCATGGCATGAGATGGCGGGGACAGGACATGCCGATGCCTTATCCAGAGAAGGAGGAATCGGCTCCGTTAGCTACTGATAGCTCAAGTGCAGCTACTTACAGCTCTGAGACAGCTCGGGTCAGATGCTGTTAATTAACAGAGAGCCCAGACAGATCCATCAAGTTGACTAAGCGCGTCATTAAGCAAGGGTCAGCAGTGCGGAGTACCTCCTCTGCCAGCACAACCTCCCTCTTGGGCTGACAGGTCTGGCACGCGGGTGAGGGCAGGAGCTCTCCCGGCTGTGTGCCAGCTTGGTCACGGGGCCAGACCCAGATCCTGCCCTGAGAAAGAGATATCCCGGGCAGGCCCTGGCACTGCAAATGTGGGTGCAAATCCAGCCTGGGCGTCCGCAGATCTGAGCCCAGCCCACCCTTGGTGCCACTGGAGAGCAAAGCCAGGCAGTGCTTATGGCTAAAATAGCTGACCCCCCCCTCTGCAGCATCTTTCCTGCAGCCCCTCTGCTTTGTCCCCGTCTGCCCCCAGTCACCTACTCTCCATGCCCATGCTGAAGTCCATGGATGTCCATGAAGTCCATGGGGCTCAGCACTGGCACAGCACTGTCCACACCAGACAGTTTCCACCATCAGAGGGCATTGTCGGATTAATTTTTATCCTGGCTGATGGTCAGGCTGATTTATTAGATGGTTGGGGTTAGCTATGATGCCACCTGGGTGGAGGTTGCAGTCCAGCTGACAGGTCAAGAGCAGGTCTTCCCTTGGCATGCTCACACCTGGTCTTGGACACTGATAGGGATGCCCTGGTCACCTTGATGCCCCTGGCATCTTGGCATGTGGCTTTGGCCAGTGGGAGCCTTGGGCGACAGGAGCTGGGAGTGGGATGTGTTAGAAAAGGAGAAGCAGCATCTCCAAGACTGTGTCATGCGGCACACTGTGCCCTTTCCAGACTCTTAATGTAGTCCTACAGGGCGAAGATTGTGTTTGTAACCCCCACAGGGGACCGGGGTAGGTAACAGCATCCACTTTTAGTGAGCTCTCCCTGGGAAAGGTCCGGAGAGCATGGAGTGGAAAAATCCACTGGATGTTTTTTCTGAAAGTAATCATCCACATGCTTTTTAATTTATGAGCATCCCAGTCATCAGGTTTCTGGGCACCTTAGCAAGGATCAAGCAAAGGCATCAGTTCCAGGAAAGCAGCCTCTTGCACAAAAAAGGTACAAGTGGGAATCAGACCCATGCTCGGTAAACAGCTGCCCTAACCCGAGGCCAAGCTACTGCAGTGCAAAAAGACCACGGGCATGGGGCGGGGGGGGTCCTCCCTGCGCTAACCTGGGGCTGCAGCATCCTCAGACACTACTGATATGGGATTTGGGGTTCTTCACCTTGAGGGGGCTGGGAGGTCGTTCAGGGCCCCTCTATCACGATGAGGTCCAAGGGAAGCATTTGCTCCTGTCCTTGCCTTTGACCTTCTGCTCCGCTCCTGTTTTTGCCCAGTGTAGTCTGAGCTAGGAGCCTGGATATGATATATTGAGGCTCCTGCAAAATGTAGGAGGCTGAGCCCCTCATCTCCTCTCATTCTTCCTCCCACCCTTCTTTGCTGCCCTCCTCTTCCTCTCAAGAGAAATGGAGGAACTCCCTCCAGGCTAAACGGAGCTGGCGGCAGTGGTGGGCAAAGGGGACACCCAGCAGCCCCATTGCCAGTGCTACATGTGCACAGCATTGCTCTCCATAGCCAGCTAAAGAGCCACCCATAAATCTCACCCACCCAAGGTCCTTTTCCTTTCCACACCCCCTCCCAGCTCCGGCGGGAACTTGCTGAGTCACGTTGCCCGTCCGAGGGGCATGACTCTCCTGGGGGCAGGGGAAGGGTCATAAGAAGTGTGATTCCAGTGGGAGACTGGTGAACATAGGATGCTGATAAGAAAAGAATCGAAATTAACTAAAATTAACTCTTCCCACCACCACTTCAGCCCTGGGAGAACCTGCTGCAGAGCTGGGACTGGCAGTGCAGCTGCCAGCATCCATAGGGACCACAGAGCTGGGTGGGGGTGATGGTCCATCTCCAGCCACCCCCTCCCCAAATGTGACCAAAGATACACCCTGCCCACGGCTCAACCTGAGGCAGACATACAGGGGTGGGCAAATGCCCCTGTGGCAACATCAGCACCAACATGGTGGCCTGCAGACGTCCCCCACTCACCCCCAAATGGGTGCAGGTACCTCTCTGCTCCCCTGGGGCATGGGGGTGGCTGCATTAACTTACAAAGTCTGGGTCAAAAGTATTTGGCTGCACAGGGAGGGTGCTTGGGAGTGATGTGGGAGACATGAGACAAACAGGGGGTGGGAGAGACTTGCCTCTGCCTTGCACAGAAGACAGGCAGGAGAAAAGAGGGAAAAATGACTCAAAGCCAAAGTAAAAGGAGATAAAAGACACATGGAGGGGAGCCAGCTCCCTGGGTGCAGCTCGCAGAGGTGGTGGGCGTTGCTGGGGTATGTAGGGAGGCATTGGGGCAGCAAAGGGTACTTCTTGCAGCGTGTACTCCAGGGGTTTCCTTTTCCACTCTTTGGTAGTGTTGAGAGCTGGAGACTGACCCTTTGCTCCATGGGGATGGTGGGTTCATCACCCTTGTGGGTGCTGGCATTGCCATGGGATACCTTTTCCTATCTTTTCCTGTGTCCCAGCCTAGCTCACCTCTCCCTGGTTATGGAGGGGAAAGAAAGGGCTTGAAAGCTCCCAGCTTCAGAGCTGCAGAAATCACATTGCCCTGGGCTCCCCTGGTTCTCAGCAGCTTCACTCCCACCAGCGCACCCCTTTGCCCCGATATCCCCATGGGTCCATGGACCTGGGGGCCAAGGTGTGACGTACCCCCAGCATCGCCGACTGCCACGCTCCAAGGAGCCAGAGGTCTCCATCAATGGCAGAGGACCTCCTAGGTGGTTTTTATCATTTTACTTTATTTGCATGAAGATAAACTGTGCCTTTGTCTGTACAATTTCTCCTTAAATACTTGGCAACCCTTAAAAAAAAACAAAACAAAAAACAAACAGGGGAAAAAAAAAAAAGGAAGGAACAGTGCAGGCTACAATATCAAAACAGTACAATGCTTGTGAATAAATAACCCCCTGGGGCAGGTGGGGGATACGGCTTGTTCAGATTGCACAGGGCTGGTGAATCCAGCTCTCCCAGGTCCGCACCAGCCCTTCCCCTGGCAGCAGGAACAGCGGGCAGATGTGGAGCGGGCTGGGCATGGAGGACCCCTGTCTGCTCTCTCCCAGCTCCTAGTTGCCCGGCTCAGCCGTGGTGGTGCTGGCATTTTTGTTGGTTTTGCAGCAGAAGTACTGGTTCCAGATCTGCAGAAAAGCTGTCCGGAACTTCTTGATCCTGAAGGCATAGACGATGGGGTTCATGGCTGAGTTGCCGTGGGTGAGGAAGATGGCAATGTAGGTGAGGATGTGCGGCGTCTCGCAGGATGGGCAGAACAAGGTGATGCAGTTGAGGATATGCAGAGGGAGCCAGCTGAGCACGAAGAGGAAGAGAACCAGTGCTAACGACTTGGCGATCTTCAGCTCCTTCCCATAATACTTCTGGGGGTCGTTGGAGCTGGAGGAGACCTTCTTGTTGAGTTGCTTGCGGATAAGGTTGAAGACTTCCAGGTAGATGAGCAGCATCAGCAACAGGGGAGGCAGGACCCAAACGAAGAAGTTGAAGTACACCATGTACTCCATGCTGATGACCGTCTCAAACTGGCACTTGATGACAAACTCAGTGTGGCTGGCATTCAGCTCCTGAGTCCTCCGCATCTTGTTCAGGTTGTTCCAGCCAAACATAGGGGTGAGTCCCACCAGAAAGGAGACGATCCAACAGCAAGCAATGGCCACGGCTGCCCGCCGGGGTGTCACCATGCTCTTATACCTGTGGAAGAGACAACAACAGCACGAAAAAATTGAACACAAGTGGGATGCTCTGCCTGGGGGTTCAGACTGCTCCACAATGCAGTGCTCATGCTGGTATGGCACGATGCTCCTCATTCCCTCCCTTGGCAATCGGTGACAGCTTGTCCTGACAGATGTGTTAATGGACTGGTTTCTCTGCATGTGCCCAGGCGAACCTCACCCTGTCTCCCACCACCACCCCCAGCCCCAGGGATAGGCAGAGACCTCAGACACGATCCTGGAGCTCTGAGGGTTGATGCCAAGCCAGGAAATGCATTAGCAATCTGGAACGTGCCTGCGTGTTCAGTCCTGAGCACCCTGCACCCAGAGAAGCAGGTCACCCTTTCCTTCCCCCATGCACCAGCCCTGCCAGCACCCTGTCCCAGACAATTCCCCCTGCGCCGGGGGAGGAAATCACCAGCAAAAACATCCTCTGGGACCTGCCGGGCTGGAGGAAGGATCCGCTGGTGCTAATGGACTCCTGGGGAAGCTTCTGGGCACAGCCTGTTTCATTTCCTAATGTGCTGGGCTGCTCGACAAAACCCTCTTTCCTAATGGGCAGGTGCCAAGGGATGGAGGAGGAGAAGAGCCGTGTTCCGGCTGGGCTCTGCTCCCTCCCTGATGCCACCAGGGAGCATGCCGAGGCTGGGTTCGTCTCTCCAGAGCTCTTCAAGCGGGAAGTGGAGCCTGCTACATTGATTTTTCCCCCTGGCCCTCAAAGGAAAGCTTCTCCTTGGAGGCCGAGAAGATTCGCAGCCCAAGTGTTATTGCTTTCCACCAGAGGGGATTGAACAAAGAACATGTTTCTGACTGTTTTCTGGGTGTTTCAGTGATGCTGGTGTTAACCCAGCCATGTGGAGGTGGCTGGCAAAGCTGGATCTCCATCCTGATGCTGAGAGCCTCCTGCTGCATGTCTGCAGCCTTTACCTGTGGTGGAAAAATGGAGCATTTCGGGGCTTTTTAATGCAGCCAAGGACCCAAACCCCTTCTCCCTCCCCCTTGAAGGTCCCTTCTCAAGACCCATCTCATGGGCAAGGTGTCAGGGTGGGAGCATGGAGAGGCGCTGGGTAGAGGGGGGGACATGGGTCCCCAGGAGTCCAGAGGGTCCAGAGCCACTGGTCCCGGACAGCTTTCCGGAATGAACCCCCCCTCTGGTCTGAAAAAAGATTCCCAGCATCCCGGATGCAGCCAGGTCCCGTGGGAAGGAGGTGGCAATGCGGGCTGCTGTTTCCTCTGAAAACTGATGCTGGAGCTGGAGGGTGATTTATTCTCTGTGGGGAGGAGAGAGGGCAGGAGACCCTGAGAAAGGTGCAGAGCAGGAGAGCTGGGGCATGGGGAGGACGAGGGGCGGTGGGAGTGCACCAGTGCTATGGGCTAAGTGAAGGGAAAGGTGGGGGGGCCCATGGGAGCGGCGGGTGGCAGAGGGAAACCAGAGGCTCCCATGGGGCTGTGTGCTGGCTGTGCACCCCACGTCACCGACGACAGGTCCTTGGGGAGGGCTGATGTGCCCTTCCAGCAGTGACACCCCGATCCCACCTCCCTAGGCTCGAGCAGCTCGGGGGGGTGGCACTAGAAATAACAGCACCAACCCCCCTGCCCTAGCGCCTTCCCTTTTTGCAGTCCCTGCAAGCTGTGTCCCATCTCCCCACTCCCGGGGGTTTCTAGGGTCTTCTACTGATTTTGCTGAACACGCTGCCGTGCTGGGTGCTCCCTGCCCTGCAGAGCTGTGTGACAGCCATTGCCAGAGACACAAGGCTGCTGAGCAGCAGCGGTGCCACCACAGTCCCCAAACACCCTCCCAGGGCTTGCAGCCAGCACCCAGGCATGGAACTGCTCCCAGAGCACCCACTCCTTCTCCCCCCTGCCGTCATGCCTGGGTTGGGGCAGCACCCAGGACAGAGTGAGCATTGGGACCCCGTTGTTAGTCATGAACCGGGGTCAGATCAGAGGACGCAGTGTTCACTCTTGCAGCCAAAGTAGACGGGATGGGGAATGGCTGCAGGGGGCCCGGCCCCCTGCAGCTGCAGAACATTGCGTGTTGTTGCAGATGGCTATCAGGACAGCTGTGGAGGTCGTGCAGACCTCAGGTCCCTGGATGCACACAAGCTCGCATGGTTCAGAGTGTATAACACACACATAGCAGAGCAACCGCCCCACACACCGCCGGCTGTTCATCCACCTCCCCACTTAGGTGCACATCCCTCCCATGTCCTCCCTGCACATCTCTCCTCCTCGCTGCACGTGCATCCCCCCCTTGCTGCACATCCATCCCTTCTCAATACACATCCATCCCTTGTTAATGCACATGCATCTCTCCTCTTCACTGCACACCCATCCCTCTTTGCCTTACATGGATGTCCCCACCTCGCTGTGCATCCATCCCTCCTCCTTGCCACACATCCATCTCTCTGCCATGATCCACATCCATCCCTCCTTGCTGCACATCTATCTCCGCCACCTCGCTGCACATGCCTGGCCTGACAGACACAACAGTTCGAGCATCAGGACCTGGCTCTCCCTGCTCCTTGCTTCACTTCACATGGTGAGGTTTAAGTGTGGCACTGCAGAAGCAGCCGGCAGCTGAGAGCAAAGCCTGTCCATGCATTGTCCTGCACGTGTGCATCATGGTCACAGGAACCATGGCTTAACCCAAAAAATCCATAGAAAACATCAACATTTGGAGCTGGGGCTTTTGTTCCTTTTGCTCCTTCAAGCAACAAGCCAAGGGCAGAGGCAGCTGCAGCACCCTGCAGGGAAATGTGCTCCCCGGGGGCTCACGGGTTCTCACTGTCCCCTGTCAGCCCTACATGGAGGGTGACAAGAGCCACAAAATGACTCCAAGTTCCTCCTCTGTCCGCCCCACAGGGTCTGACCATGCAGCCCCTGTGGGGCTCAGCTGCTCTGAAGGCTGCAAACCCTGCTTAAAGGAGGGAAATGCAAGATCCCACCTAATGCTCAACCCCATGGCACAGGGTGTTTGGTGGGGTGCAACTAGCAGAGGGGTGAGGGACAGACTGTGCTGTTCCCATGTTTCTTCCTGGGTTATGCCATAAAGAAAAAAGCCTTTCTCATTTACCTCATTTTGCATTAATTTGATAGGGCTGGAGTTTCAGACAGGTCTGAGAGGCAGAAGCACTAGAAAATGCTGATAATGGCTCACAATTAATAAATAATCTTATTATTATCAGCAGCATTGGAGCAATTGCTAACATCATTACAATTTTATTCCTACTATTATTTTTATTAACAGCTGTGACTAAAACATCCATGATAATAGCCATCACCATCATCATACAATTTGGGTTTGTTTTCTTTGTCTGTGGGGTTTTGAGCCTGACCATAATTGCTAGATTTTCCTCCTGCCCTCCCTCACTGGCAGTTTTTGCTCCATGCCTTCCCCACAGAGATGGGCATCGCCCCAAGTCCTCCTGGATGCCCTGCCAAGGCCAGGAGAAAGGAGTCTGGAGGGAACACAGCAGCCATCCAGCCTCATTGATATCCTGGTGGATATCAAATGGGATGGGCAGGAACTTTGGTTTGGTGTGGAACAAAAATGTCTTTGAGGGTTTGGAAAGTAATGCAAAGAGGTAAAATATCAATTATTTATAGAGTGCTGTTTGCACCCCCAGAGGAAGCGCAAGAAGTGATGGCTGGAGGCGGAGGCAGACAAATTGTCCCCAAGGGCTGCACAGAGCTAACGGGGAGGAATGGAGCAGGCTCCTCCAGGGACAGATGCTGCCTCATGATGGGATGCTCCAAGAGATGTTGCAGTCAAAGTTTCTTGGGCTCAGGATAGAGTCACAGGGGGAGACGCTGAGGCCCCTTTTCTCCAGGAGATCATGAAATGCTCCCTGGGTCCTCACCCCGAGGACACTACCTGCCCTCCTTTCCCTTTGTTCGTCATTCCCAGAATAGATTCAACTTCTTCCGCCACATCTTGATGTGGCCAGACCTCTGCATTGCTCGCCGCTGCAGCCAAGGGAGCCCAGCTCAGCCCAGGACCTGCTCTTTAGGTGTCTGGCACTGGGTGGGCAAAGCCCCCATGGCCATCTAACATATCAGGACACATCTAAAACCAAATGGAGAGCAGTGTATTCATTGCATTTCTAATGATTTGACTTTTTTCTTGGGGCCTATCCCCCAAGAGAGAGACGAGGGCTGGTTTCCTAGATCTCCCACCCACAGGTCAATCCAAATCTAACACTCACAAAACATGTCTTCTTGTTTTCATTGAAAAAACTTCAAAGATTCCAGGTCTGGTTTGAATAAAATCTGTTTGTTTTCAGTATTTCTGTGAATATCCTTTTGTGTCCGGAAAATACTCGCAGTTGTCCAGCCAGCCCCAAGATGCAGCTTCGCTGGTCCTTGCTCTGGTAGGGTTTATTGCAGTGCAATTCCTGGGGAATTAATTCATTAATGAAGGCAGGCCATCACTAATGAAATGAAGCTGGAGCCAACGTGGTAGGAGGAAAAGAGGCCAAGCTGACATGAAACTCATCTGCATTATGAACGCAGCAAGGAAAAGCAGCCAGAGCATGTCCTGACCTAATTGAAAATCTCTACACAAAAGTGCTTTGATCTCAGAAGATTTTTGTTTCTGCTCCTTTTTCCTGGCTGTATCTTTGCTTCAGATCTTTCAGTGTCCTGGAGGCCACTGGGTGGGAAAACTCAGATGTTGGTGTTCAAAGCTGCTCAGAAACGTGGAGCTGAGAAATGTGAAGTGGCACATGGGTTCTGCGAGGGGCAATCTCAGCTGCGGCTCAGGGCTGGGATGAGGAGGTCCCTGGGCACCCGCACAAGGTGGGAAGTGCTGCAGCAGGGCCACTGTGTGACAGAGGAACCCTGATCATGGCTCCTTTGTCACCTCTAACCCTGGACATGAAAAGTTTATTCCTTCTTCAGTGTCTTGCTTTGGCTGTTTTCCTCCTTCCCTTCAGATCTCTTTTGGACTTCATTTAGGTAAAAACCCTAAGTTCAAAA